GGGGGGGAGGGGAGGAAAAAAAAACAAAACAGGTCCTATACAAAGGGATCAACTCTCAGAATGCCATCTGACTTGCTAATAATACCAGGAGCTGGAAGACAGAGAAGCCAGGGCTTCAACCTAGAATTCTTTCTCATATACTCTTACTCAGGATCCACCAAAGGATAACCCAAGACAGTGAATAACACAGAAAGACGAGATCCTATCGAGTAGAAAAGCAAAGGAGATCCCTAAAACAACTGAAAAATCAATCAGAGTTCCAGATCTCACAGTTGTGCAGCAGGCCCAGAGGGGCTAACCCAGATGGGAGTGGGTCAGAATATACTAGGAGGGACTTATTCATAAAGATAAAAGTAGAGAAAGAAAACCAGATGGACTTGAACCTAATGTATGCAACCGGAAAAATGTGGGGCTTTATCAGTGAGACAGAGAGAGACAGAGACACTATGAAACAAAAAGTATACAGGAAAAGAAAAAAAACTTACTACTCGAGTAGTATACACAGTCATAATAATGAAAACAACAACTAATCTGAACAAAGTTATAATATAACCATACTGGGAGGATCAGGAGAAAAGTATGAATGCCTGTGGCAGATGGTTAGAAAAAGAGGGCCAAGTCGTAAAAGTCAATAAAAGACGGTCTAAAGCTGAAAACTCAAAATGTAGCATAAAAAGTATGCTAGGTTCCGCACAGTGATAAATACCGAAAGAATCAGCTAAGGGTTACAAGGGGTTGCCTTGAGGAATGTGAAAGGGATATAGAGGGACTCTTTTTTGTAATAAGCTTAAGGAATTCTTTTATTCTTTTTTTTTCTTTTTTTGACATGGAGTTTCAGTCTTGTTGTCCAGGCTGGAGTGCAAAGGCACTACTGGGCTCACCACAACCTCCATCTCCCAGGAGGTTCAAGTGATTCTCCTGCCTCATCCTCCCGAGTAGCTGGGATCATGCGCCACAATGCCCAGCTAATTCTGTCCTTTTAGTAGAGATAGGGTTTCTCCATGTTGGTCAGGCTGGTCTCAAACTCCTGATCTCAGATGATCTGTCTGCCTCAGCCTCCCAAAGTGTTGGGATGACAGGCGTAAGCCACCGAGCCCGGCCAGGAATTCTTTATATATGCATATATAACAAATAAAAAAATTACTTGAGCATTGAAGAAACAGGAGCGAGGTACATAACCTGTTTCATCTCTGTATCTCAGTTGAAAGTCAGACATGTCCACCTACCAAGTTGAGATCAATCCCACCAATGAAGGATTCTACTAAGCCAATTTTCCAGGCCAAAAACAGAAAATGTTATGGTTCTCTACTTTTCTGATCTTATGTTTCACCAATTATGATACAAAGATCTTATGTTTCCCAATGACAGAAGCCCATTTTTACCAAGGACTGGGACCTATTTAAAGATCCCAGTCCTTGGTAAATTCTACTGTTCACAGTACATGAATATATTAGTAGCTGGGAGAGAATTTTATTGTGAATTCTTATTATGATGAATGAAAAACAACTACATCTTACTGAAGATCCAAGATTCCCCTAAAAGCAGCAGTAGTAATCCAAGAAAAGAGTAAAATTCATTGTGGACATCTCAGAAGGTTAATGACACGTTAGGCCCTAAAGGTCATGAAAGCATGATAAAGGCTCAAGCTTTTGAAAACGCAGAAATGTGAAAATGACAAACAAGACTCACACCCCAAATGAACTGAGAAAAACAATCACCTGATTTGACATCAAACACACTAATGTAGTCTATGGAGCCAGCTGCAATGTGGGTACCAGAGGGATGCCAGCTGAGACTCAGGATGCGACCTTGGGAGTTGTACAACAAAAAAGAAAGTGACATACATGTAAATATACAGAGAATAACTGAGCTCTCTTCCCTCAATTATCTCTCGAGTTTACTACAATCTTAGCTCTCTCATCTACTGTACTCCCTGAAGCACGATTTCATAACAGATGAGGCACAACTATGCCCTGGGATCCACAATGAAGCATTTGATACTTTCATAATGTATAAATGATAGAAGTGTAAATAAATATAACCCTTTGGGGATGAGGCTAGGAGTGACCTCACAAAATTTAAACGTGCATACTTTTTGGCCCAGTAATTGCACTGGGAACAATCAAAGAGAAATACTTGCACGAGGGCCCAAAAATATGTATATAAGAATGTTCATTGCAGCACGGGTTGTAGTAGTACAACACACATATATATACATACATATATATATGGCCAGGTGTGGTGGCTTATGCCTGTAATCCCAGCACTTTGGGAGGCCAAGGCAGGCAGATTGCTTGGGCCCAGGAGTTCAAGACCAGCCTGGGTAACATGGCGAAACTCTGTCTCTATAAAAAAAACACAAAAAATTAGCTGAGTATAGTGGTGTACACCTATAGTCCCAGCTACTCAGGAGGCTGAGGTAGGACGATCACCTGAGCCAGGAGGTGAAGGCTGCAGTGAGCCATGATCATGCCACTGCACTCCAGACTTGGGGACAGGATGAGGCCCTATTTACAAAAAAAAAAAAAAGAAAAAAGGAAAGAAAAAAACATACATATACATATATTTCAATAGAAATTAGGCTAAATAATTCCCTTCCATAAAATGGAATGCCATGCAGGCTGGCACAAATAACACAGAAAGATGTCTGTGGTGGATCAAGTGCAAGAACTGTATTTCTTTATGTGAATATACAGAAAGATCTAAAACACTAGTTCCAAAATGTTACCTACAGAGTGGAAACGGGATACCCATTTTTTTTTTTT